GTTAGAAATGTAAATGCATAAGAATTAAGTGGTATGTATGTAAATTTTTTTTTAATTTAGTTGTTATTTTTCATTTTAAAAAATGTTTATATATTGTATATTCAAAAATGATCTGCACGGATCTTGAGGCAATTCGGTAGTCGGCCACCTCACTTCAGTCGATTGCCCTAGCTCTCTCCCTCGACCACCTCACTTCAGTCGATCGGCCAAGCTCTCTCCCTCATTCACCTCAATAATCAGGGGATCCCAATTATAACTCATACCATTTATGAAATAAAATGTGTATAGGAGTTCAGGAACATTCCATTTCCCCTGTTGGGGAAAGTCCTCCTCTCCTCTTCCTTCTCTCACTCACTCTCTCACTCTTTCTCTCTCTCTCTCACGCTCTATTCCCTGAGCGTGGTTTACCAAATGAATTCGGATTAAGGTGCGGCGAGCCTGAATCGTGCAGTGAACAAGAACACGAGCTAACACCAAGAGAAAACTCTTCAGGGACACACTCCTAGTAAAGAACACACATGGGAAACTTGCACAAAAGCATACTCACTTCCTTTACTCCTCATCACCGACGATCTCTTAGAAACTCATCTTTTTCTATGTATTTCCCCATTATCTAGTGGAAACAGAGGCAATCCATACTCTTATCGCCTCTCAAGCACCATCTCACGTCACCTCATGGCAGCCGTGAAACTCTTCTGCCCACAAACTTACCAAGCCTCCTAAAACTCCCCATGCCTCTTCTTCCTAGGTAGCCAGTAATTTCATTCCTCATCGCCTCTAAAGCCGGGGTTTTCTCTCCACTTCCACCTCCAACCGAGAAAGAGATGAAGAACGATTGGTCGTCTAAATCCATCTGATCGCTTTGCTTCTATATGAAACCACGAATGTCTTAAATCAGAAGCTATCAAATGTACCATTTTATTTTGTCCATACCCGCACTCGACAAAACCTGTTAAAACAGGCTACCTGTCAGCCAGCAACACCCTCCAATCGATCGCTACTCCTGTCATCTCCGACCAACCATCTCTCAATTAATCACAACACATCCGACCGACCTTACCCTTTGTCAATAATCAGGCTTCTTCATGTAAAGCATGCTCTCTTGCTCTCTCGGAGGCATGACTGCACCTATTGGCCCAACTCCATCTGTCCACCACCCCTTGTCAACTCCATCATCGTCAGTGATCTCAAGCAACACACCTTAGTGGTGTTCCCCCTTCTCAAATAAGTGACTAATCCCTCTAAACCCCTGAAATAATTTGTCGCCCCACATATATCTCCTCAGGCTACCAACTCGGACAGACAACTCTTTTCGTCATTGTATTCTCTCTTTCTTCAGCCACCCTACTGCTCCCACTTATATATATATATATAGTGTTTATTTTCTACAATTTAATCCAAAATACTATTACTTGATTCAATTTAACTAAGCATATGACAACAACAGTAGGACTTGAAAACTAACTAAGATTTGATAATGGAGACGGAGCAAAAGACGACAACACAATTTATTTATAATTGATTTTATTATCATCAATCACTCAGGTCTAAGTGCGCGCGTGTGTGTGTATATATATATTATTTTCTATTCCAATGAATTATTATAATTATAAATGAAATGATATTATTGAAAGCGACCATAAAAGCCAATTCAATGGACTTTCAAATTATAGTTGTTGTAACACGGTCGAAGAGTGGTGTTCCACTCATTCAATAAGGTTGTCTCCTATGTTTTTTATTAGATTGATGGCTAGCGACCATCAAATTATTATCTATTTTGTGTGGTTACAAAAACCTCTTGCTCTCTTCACTTCTCTCTTTTTTTTTGTGTTTATAATTGTGAGATACATTATAATTAAGAATTGCGTGGATTTATGTAGTGACGAGTTCATCTTTTATCACTTATAACCAACCACCACTAATTAGTAGCATCCATTTAGGACTTTTATGTTACTCTTTATTTAAAACTTCTTCATAAAGTTTAATGTATTAACTTTTTTACGGCCACCACTCAAAGATTGTAAATATCTTTATAGCATCCATTGAATATAATCACTATTTCAACAAACTATTGTCTGATTGGTTGCTCTTGACGTCTCCAGCTGCGGTTAGCCATTTCCAAGCAGGAAAGATTTACATAAGACTCACTTCTTACATATTTTCATATACCACTCAATTTCTACAAACTTATATACTTAACTAAATACAGCTCAATAAATTTATTTCTAGCACTCGGGGAACTCGAACCCGAGTAAACAAACCGACAATGATGCCAAGAGCGTTCAATCAGTCAGAAGCATAAGAAAGAACCGACAATGACGGCAAGAGCATCCAATCAATCAGAAGCATGGGAAATAACCGATAATGATGCTAAGAGTGTCTGATTGGTCAAATACACACCGAAACAACAAATAATGACAACAAGGGCATCTAATCAATCAAAGACTTAACAAAACAACTGACAATGACGCTAAGAGAATTTGATCCGGTGCAGAGCTATAAACTCCCCCCCGGGGCGAGTAACCACAAGATTTATTTCCAGGGTGAGCAATTACAAGACTCTCATTCAGGGTGAGCAAATATAAGACACCTCTCTAGGGCGAGCAACTACATGACTCCTCTTTAGGACAAGCAATTACAAGACTCCCCTCTGAGGTGAGCAACTCTGAGACTCCTGTAAGTGATAATGAAAAATACTAGAATAGAGTGCAAAAAATGCGAAACATGGAGTATCATTATCAAATTATGTATTCAGGACTTTTTTTTATTTATAAATTCTCTGTCCTTATTGTATTTATTACTATTAACGAGCAAGAAAATAAGGAAACTTAATGTATATATTCAAAAATGGTCTGGATGGATCTCCGAGCAATCCAGTAGTCGGCCACCTCACTTCAATCAGCTGACCAAAGTCTCTCCCTCGACCACCTGACTTCAATCAACTAGTTAAGCTCTCTCCCTCGGACACCTAAATTCAGTGACCAACCAAGTTCTCTCCCTCGACCACCGCACCTTAGTTGGCTGACAAACATGGACATAAGAGTTTGGATTGATATACATCCACACCAAACAAGTCTCCTACACCACCATCTCCACACTACACCAACACATCTACACACAACCACCTCCACGCCAGATAATCACCCAATACTACCACACCAACACATCCACACACCACACCACAACCTCCACACCACACACCAACACATCCACAAACCACACCACCACCTCCTCATCACAATATCACCCTACACCATCACCTCAACACCACACAACTCTCCTACATCACCACCTCCACACCATACGAACACATCCACATGTCACAACCTCCACACCACACAATCACCCGATGCCACCACACTAACATATCTACACACCACACCACAAACTCTAAACCACACCACCTCCTCCTCATCACACAATCGCCCTACACCACCACCTCCTCCTCATCACACAATCGCCCTACACCACCACCTCCAAACTCCACACCACCACCTCCACACCAATGCCTCCACACCACACAACCACCTAACACCACCACACCAATACATCCATATACCACACCACAAACCCCAAACCACACACCAACACATCCACAAACGACACTACACCACAATGAAGAGAAGGTCGTGCATGGTGATTGTGTAATGTGCCAAAACAAACACATCCACCATCTCCTCATCATATAATGTTTTCCCATTGAAATTTCAGTGAAAATGAAAATAACAACATACAAATCCAGCATGGAATTCTCACTGAAATTCAAATTTCATGTTCACAACCCATACTCAACACATGCACAACATCCAAAATATTGCTATTAACAAATCTAACACCAAATTCTAACCAATTTTCATATTCCTTGCTAAAATATCAAAGGTTATAAAGAAATCCAAATTTTCCACAACATAGTACCAAAAGAAATCGAACATACCACATATAGGGAGCTCGAAGCATTGTTAACAGGATAGGCAAAAAAAATCCAAAGATCACCGCAAAACACCAATCGAAGCAAACATTGCAACAGATGCATAAACCAAAACATGTTTGGATGCAATATGAAGTATTAAAACCACATAAACGGGCATATCAAACCGAAAACCACCAAAACTGAACAAACAGAGAAACACCAAAATCAAGCTAAAAAATGAAACAATCAGATTAATGCACAAAACCACATATACAACAGAGAAAAGAGGTAAAAAAACAGAGAAGACAGGAAGAAGAGGGAACACCGTGCAGAGACAGTCATGCGCACAATCACCGAACAGAGCCGAAGAAGAGAAAGGAGAGGTGATGCGAGAATACACACAACACAATAACCACCAACTGAAATAACCACAAACTGAAATGATCTACCAAACCAAAAGACTTACTCCACCACAGAGAGCACAGAGTGCACAAGCCACCCAAATTTGAGTCGAAGGAAAGATGGGAGAGGGAGAAGAATCACTCGCAACCAAAAATAGCCAACCGTAAACAATGCCTAGACACCAGAGCTATGGATCTGCGGGAGAGAGATACTTAGGGCAAAATAACCGCGTGAGTGGGAGCGGGAGCGGGGTTGAGAGAAGTCGAAGGAAACATGAGAAGAGGGGTCGCGAGATAAATAGCCCGCGGTCGAGAGGAGAAACGTGGGCTCAAGGTCAAACCCGTGACCGTGTTTTAACGGATTTTTTTAAAAACGATGTCATGACTTATTTTTTGAATGCATTATCTTGCGTTTTCACACTGCACCGCAAAAAACGGTACATCAAACTGGCCCTTAATGCTCAAATTTTTTGTATTTGATTGAATTTAAGATAAATTCACAACTAAATCCTATTAATGATATACTACCGAACACCATCTTAAACATAATCATATACTATATCGGGAACTTACTTGATTCTCAAAAAAAAAAAAAAAATTTGGTTTTTTTTTAAAAAAATTACCCTCTTTAATTACTCTCTTTTGTATTTAAAATTAACGATTTAAAATCCGGTGAAGGATGGGAAGCCTTCCTGTTTCCTGTTTTTAGGCAAGCTTGCTACGCGTACGGCGACGAACGACACTGGATTCCGAGGAAAGGCCTCACCGGATCCCCATCGCGATAATGCCGAAACTGCCATGCGCGAAAATGGAGCGACGAGCGCCAAGCGAGAGAGAGAGAGAGCCTCTGTATGTGGAGGAGGTGTCAGCATCCACGCCAATCTCGGGGAAGCGCAAGTATTTTCGGCTATCTTACCACTTGCTGTTATTGATCTTCCGATTACTGGTTCATCTGCTGAGCGCATTCGTTTTAGGTTTGTAGATGAAAGTTTTTTTTATTTTTTTTACTAGAATGGAGTTTTGATTGTTTTCGTTTTTGGTTTCGATGAGAGTTCGGGATGCTGGATTTTGGTGATCTTGGTGAATGAGGTTAATGTAGCTAATTCATTAATAAATAGAATGAATTACTGCTTCATTTAGCCATACTTTTTATAAATCGTGGAATGCCAGTCGATTTCACAACAAGAAACCGATATGATGTTTTTTGTTCTTTGTTTTGTAACTTTGAAGCCGAGTTGACAGCCTCTTTTTCTGCAGGTTAGAAAGTTGATTGGAAGATTTTCTTCAGGCCCGATAAATTTCTGCTGAGAAAGGTTGAAACTTGAAAAAAAATGGCGCAAGTTCGACCTAAGATTAGGTTGGGAGTGGATGAGGAAACGATCATGGAAAACTTGTTTGGGGAGGAAATTAAATTTTTGGGCCGAGATGGATTTGAAGGCTCAGAAAAGGAGCGACGCATGTGCATGAATGTTATGGATGGAGTGGATGTTAGAAATTTCAGCAATTCTTCCAAGATGGTAAAATTTCAAGTGAGAAGCAGAAATGAATCACTTACAGAAGCCACAGCCAAATCTCCTATTTCTAAAGAGAGTTGTGCTTCTACACAGTCAAAACATGACATGTGCATCGTTGAAAGCTCAGTGGGGATGCCATCTGATGTGGATTTTTCTGCTAGTACTCCTTCACCTGCTGTCCTGAGTAAAATTGTTGCAGAAGAAAATGTATTAAAACATTCCTTAGTGGATCTCCAAACACCGGCCAACCAAAAATACGAAGAGTCAGATGCTACTGGTTTGGTTAATAATGTGTTGGCCCTGCCATGCCAACAGTCGGCTGAACCTAATGTTCCAACCACTGACGCTATCACTGCATTGGTTGAGACGCCAACTTGTAATGATATTCATGCTCACCTCAGTTCAGAAGAACATCTGGGAAAGATAGCTACAGAACATAGCAATAGAATATCGTTGGAACCATTATGTAGTAGGGATCTTACCCTTCTGCTCCGCTCACATGCATGTCGTCTTCTTAAGGATGCTGGTTGGCTGGTTAAGATTCGGCAACGCATTCACAAGCCCCAAGTTGATTCCCACTATATATCACCCAATGGACATACTTTTCACTCCCTTTCCAAAGCTTGGGTGGCATTTGGGTCCGAGTTACTTGCTAGTATTCAAATTGCAGGAGCTAATGTCAAAATGGAAAGAGTTTGGGCTCATATTGATGGGTTCTGGGCTGACTTAGCAAATATTTTGGTAGAAATTAATGCAAAGATCCAGGGCATGGAAAAGCCTGCTTCTTTTCTGCTGCAATGGTGCATACTTGATCCTTTCATGGCTGTGGTGTGCATTGATAAAAAAGTTACTGCTCTGAAACGCGGAATGGTAGTGAAAGCGGCAAAAAGTAAAGCAATCATTTTAAGTGACAACAAGAGCTTGTTCTTTGCATCGGAGGGTGCGAGTAAGCTTCAAGATCACACTTTCCCTCGCAACATGGGCCAATCAGTGCAGCCAGTTTTTTCTGATAGCAGGTCAGAGGTGCTTAGATGTTCCAGTGGTCAGCAGTTTTCACCTTTACATGCTTTTCAAGGTTTGAAAAGAAAAGGGAAGCGCAAGAAATTAGTGTATGGAACAAGCGACGATATGCATTCCCGCGGTAAAAGACCCAAAAGCTCATCTAGGCATGTAACCGAGGTGTTTTCTAATGCTACAAACTTGCATGGAATGAAGCACAATCTTTCATTAGGTATACCTGATCCTAGGATTAAACACCAATTTTCCTGTCTCATTACTTTAATGCAAAATAACTAATGTTTTTCCTTTTTCGTAATTTTCCAGCCAATGATATGCCAGTTCAAGTGGCAATGATCTTTGATGGTTCTTCACATCCTGATTGCTTGAATCTATCTGAAAATTCCTCAATTCAGACAAAAGGAGTGTGTTGCAGTCCCACTGAGAAATCGAACATAGATAATGATTCTTTTAATGAATCAAGAACTGATCAACCAGCACTTTCTAAAGACACCCCATGCAGCTCTATGAGCATGGCAAATCAAAAGGATAAATTTGGCTCTTCTTATGTTTTTGGTGATAGCATTAGGAGGGCATTAACTTTTCAAGGAAGCGTTGAAATTGGTGGTAGTTCGTATTTCAAGCCTACCGATGTTAGTTGTTATACTCATGAGAGAAATGAGAATCTTGGTGAAGATGGACAACTGAGGAGGACAAATTTTGGAAATACTAGGAACTTTTTAATGGTAAATCCGACACATCTTAACCACCAGAATTCAGAAAAACAGACGACTAGTTTAATAAAGCAGACATCAAAAAGGTCTAAGAGAACTTCAGAATCTCAGTTGGCAAAAAGTACTGTTAAGAAGTCTAAGAATAGTATAGAAAATGAATTCATGATATATTTTAAGATTTCTGAACTTGATGCCAATGAAGAAAACACAGAGGGTTTGATGTCTAACGTTTCAGATGCTAATTGCATATTCTCATTCCCTATTTCTATGAATCATTGCAAAAATGATTCCCCACATCTTAACCACCAGAATGCCACTAATTCGAGAGAGGAATTAATTTCAGAGGAGACAACGAAATCTGTTTCTCATCAAATCCAAGCTGAAGAGCCTTCTAAATTGGAGATTGAGCGTACTAAATCCCAAAAGTCTCATAATTACTTTAATGATTTTAGTGCAGTTGTTTGTTCATTGAATGTTTTAGGGAATTCATTTAGTGCGCCTCTCGACAAAAGGGTTGATGAAGCTCTACCTACTGACCCTCTCATCAGCAAAGAAGTGGATGAAGTGGAGAAAGCTAATGCGTGTGAAAATAATGGAAAGGAAAATCACAGTTATGTGATTCAGAACAATTACCATGCAATGTCAAAAGATGGTATAATTTCGCTAGAGCCTCCACGCGACAAGAGTTTTGATGAAGCTCTAATGCTTGATCTCGGCAGCTCCGAAGAAGCTGTCGAGGTAAAGAGAACCGTAGAGGGCAAGAAAAGAGGAAGGAAGAAAAAATATAGGTGCAGGATTAAGGATTGTAGCTCTCAAGAAGCGGGCGAGATAAAGAAAACCGTACAGTTCAAGAAAAGAGGAAGGAAAAAACAGGATGGCTGCAAGATTAAGGTTAACAATCTATTGAATTCTCCCATAATAAACACAATGGATAACCAATCTTGCTGCAGAACGATGTCTGCTAGAAGTAGGAATTCTGAATCACAAGCATCCAGAGAAACAAGTATGAGATCTTGTAGATCGGCTGTGCATCCTGCTAATCGTGCAAGGGAGGTATCTGTTGATGATGAACAAGCTCTCAAAGGAGTAAGGACAGTGCTATGCTGGCTAATTAAGATGGGTGTGCTTTCATCTACTGATATCATGCAGTACCAGAGTCCAAGAAATAGTGCAGTGGTTAAGGAAGGTCAGATTACTAAAGCTGGAATTCTCTGCAGATGCTGCCAGAAGATTCTTTCTGTATCTGAATTTAAAAGGCACGCTGGATTCAAGGTGCAGAAACCCTCTCTGAATCTTTTCCTGAAGTCTGGAAAATCATACATATCATGTCAGCTTCAGGCTTGGTCTGCTGAGTGTGAGCTGAGGAAAGATGACTTTCGAACTAGAGAAGTAGATAAGGAAGATGAGAATGATGATGCTTGTAGATTTTGTGCTGATGGTGGCGAGCTAATATGCTGTGATAGCTGCCCATCTACTTACCACCAAGCTTGTTTGTACTTACAGGTGTGCTCTCAGATATTAAAATTTAAATTCAATGCACCTGAAAAATTTACACAAAAGTTGGAATTCATATTTTCTTGCCACAAATTTGTCCGTTTCTCCCAAATCCCACTCCATGTTCATCCACTGAAACGAAGGAAAAGTTGAAAAGGCACCTACAATAAAGGAAATTAATTCCATAGATTTCTCCGATCTTAGCTCATTGGTTTAGTAAACTAAAATGATTTACTGTGGTACAAATCATGTTGTATGGAAAAAATTGCATGATCGGATATGTTTAGAGTCTATGCCTTTGAGTTTAATTTGTAATTTTTGCTAATCTGTCTTCAATTTTATTCATCAGAAATTGTATCTCTCCAAAATTTGCTCACATTTACACCAAAAATTGGACGTGTAACCCTTATATGAAGCTTGAATGACCACACCATAGCTGCCAACTTCACAGGCAGTTTCTTTCTGATTCACAGGCAGTTTCTTTCTGATTTATCTTCGTTTTCAATCTGTATGCATCTACAATATAAGTTATCAAATTAATTGCTTATATTTAGTTGAAAGTTGTAGAATATTGTGTTTCTTCTGTTGAAACATCAAATTTTCTTGTTTCTTTTGTCTAAGTAGGGCACACATTTCATCTTTTTTGCTTGAAGTATGCAAATGTAATCTTAGACATTTTGTTGTCAAAAATGATTTTATAATATTTTTCCTTTTATATCTTTTAATGAATCCTTTTATTTTATTCAGGAGATTCCAGAAGGCAGTTGGTACTGCCCAAATTGTAGTTGTGCTATTTGCAATTGTGCCCTTCATGTGACCGAGGATTCAGGTTTCATTGCAACACTAGAGTGCTCACTGTGCGAACAGAAATGTAATTCCTTCCAAACGTGTTATATATCAGTTTAGTTTGCAGATAATTCATTTTATAAGCATTTAGTTTAACTGTTTGCTGCTTTCATCTTACTGATTTATTGGATGGATTTACTTTTTATTTGGTCCTTAAACTGTTGAAGGCCAAGAAATTTTAATAGATGTTCCGATCGGGCACTTCCTTTTGTATCTTCGAGTTTGAACTTATTTAATTCTTTTGGGTGTAGGAGATTTTCTGAATGACAAAAGTAACTATGTGAACCTATTGACAAAAAGATGCTGGATTAAATTTTTTATTCTTTTTCCTATTTTGTCATTTACTGTGTACTACTGAGAATCAATATGTTCCTTATTTTGTGCACAACAGTTGATATTCATATCATTATGCACTTTTGTTTCTATAGAAGTTCTCTCTATTTTTAGTAGCGATTTGAGTAAAGTTTTTGAATAAATTAAATTGACTGATTTCACTAGAATTATGCTTCAGCATAATTTCATTTTATTTCATAGATTATATTGGTTTTCTTGAGGAAATTCACATCTCTTCATAGAAGCATTAGAGATGGTTTGACAGGTACATCTCTCATCCATAGCAAGATGACAAGTGAAATAGGTATTCTGTCAAACTTGCTTACTGGAAGGCATTTCTGTTTAGGAAATCTTCCCCCAGTCATTTGTTTCATTCTCTTATTTGTTGTTAAAAAACTTCTTTAATATGAAATAAAAGCTTCAAATAGCTAAACCAGGCCTTTAGCTGCAACCAGCCTTGCACTATGTGCTTTAAATTCCTGAATGATTTACCATGCTTCTATGAGCATACTTTTCTGACATTTGTGTTAAAACAACCTATGCATGTCTTAGCATTTTTAAATCGTTAATTCACAAGTTAACCCTTTATTTGCTGTAGAAAGATAGTTTCACATTTTTTCCCTCTTTTTCCCTTGAATTCAATCTATGGTAATCTTCTATAAAATTGATGTGAAGGGAGTTGTCATTTAATTCTTTTGCATGGGGGTAGATGATCAAATCTTTTAATTGTTTTTATTATTTTCATGTATAATAGGCAGAACATGCAGAATGTGTAAGAATAAAAGAATACCCTTTTATTGAATTTTCATCTGTGGAGTTCTGAGTTTTCTATTTTAGCGTTAATCTCTTTTATTCTCTTTTTATTATGTTATATTTCTTTCCTTCTTGAGTTTTTTTATCTTTGGTAAGTTATAATTTTTGTAATTAAGTTTGCTCTAGTTGTTCCTTATTATATAAGGAGAAGATTTGTAATTTGATTATTGAGAGAGAAGAGAATATGATTTTCTCCACTTTTTCACATAGTATTATATTTTCAAAACAAATCCTAGCTCTCTTTCCTTTCTTGGAGTCGCTCTTTATAGCCGCCAGTTCCTACAGGCTCTCCGTTGAATCCTATTCTTTCTATCGTCTCTTTGTAGGCGTCAATCCTTCTTTGAGACGCTGCATTCCTAAAGCCATTTTGTTCCAGTAATCCTTCCCTTTGCTTTCTTTTGACGTTTTGTTTTAACGATCCTTCATGTGCCTTGTTCTGTTGAATTGAGGCTCTTAATGCTGGGCCTTGTTCCATCGAATCTAGCCTTTCAGAGCAGCAGACACGACTTGCGCACAGCTTGGCTTGGGAGCTTTTCTCTCCATAGTGGAAATCATTGAGGGTCTTCTCCTAAAAATCGTCGGAATCCTTTCAACCGACTTGCAGAACCTCCTTGGCTATTTCCTCTTTCCTGCAGCCGGAAGTTCTTGCTGCCCTCCTTTACCGGATTCTTCCTACAAGCCTTCTTATCTTTGCTGCTAGCTTTCTTCCAGCAACAGCTCCTCTTTGGTGCCACTCACCATAATTTTCAATTTACAGGCAATAACAAACAACTGTGTATACCAAGTAATGTATGAAGACATCGAATTCCACTTTGGAGGTTAATCGTCCTTTCTATGAACATTGTTAGAAAGTTAATCACACAAAGGAGAAATGTTGAAAATTACATGGAAAACCTGCCAAATGGAAATTTGAGCAAGGGAGCAAATTAAGACGGCAAGATCCATACTTGCTCATGTCCTCTTCCCATCTCGTTTGAAGGAATAGTTGGTGTTGAAGAAAACTCCTTTCGAGCATAACTGAGCGGCCTACCAATTTGATGATATACCAATGTATCATGTCCTCTTCCCATCTCGTTAACAATAGAAGATTTCAACCTTGGATGATAGATTCAAGTGTTTTTGCTCACATAACTAGAGATATTCATGTTCATACCAACTACCAAGAGTTCATCGACTCCAAATTTGTTAAACTTGTCCGATGGATCTCACTCTAGGATTGTTGGAAAATGAGAAGTGAGAGTTTTCAAAAATATTCAACTCTCTTGTGTATGTTCCCCAACTACATTGCAACTTACTGTTAATTAGTAAATTTGCTCATGGCTTGAACTGTATTAATAAATTTCATTCTACACTTGTAAATGTTAGGTGGTGGATTCGGGGAGGTTGAATAGTATTAATGTCTATATATACTCAAGGAAAGCTACTTCCTTAACATACATGTGTCTTCTCTTCCATCCTCTTCTCATATTCTTGAGTTTGTTAGTTTGATTCTTCTAAAGGTCGAGTTTATTGATATTATCGCCGGGATCATCCTAATTTTACATTATGTTATAAAGTTGTATTGTCATCTATTTATTAATAAAAAATTAAAATTTTATTAGTGTAAAATATATCAATGGCTAAACATACTCGTCATGTCTATTCTCTATCCAAGTACAAATATTCACATCTTTTTTTTATTATCCATAGTGATATATGAGGACAATCAAAATTGAAAATCATTAATTGAGTTCGATAGTTTCTCTTTTATTGATGATCACACTCAAACCAGTTGGATTATCCTCATGAACGAAAAGTTTGATATTGCACAAATATTGCAGCCAGTCCATAACATGATTTACACTCGATTCCAATATAAAATTCTAATAGTCAAAATTGATAATATTAAGAAATACTTCAATTCTATCATTAGACCCTACCTTACAAAGAACGATATTTTTCACGTGAGTTCGTGTTAAAGCTTCACAATAAAATGTGATAACGAAAAGGAAGAATAGACATTTCCTTGAGGTATCTCAAGTCTATAATGTTTTCTCATAATGTCCCAAAAGTTTTCTAGGGAGGTGTCATGCTCCCAACCACCTAACTTATTAATAAAATACCAAGCAGGATTCTTTGATTCAAAGCCCTTCTCGATATTGTGATGGAAAAAGTACCCTCATGTCAAAGCCTTCTCATCTAATATTCCTCTCAAAATATTTTGTTATCTTTTTGGTTCACATTCATTAACCAAACCACACAAATTTCGACTCAAAATTCATCAAATGTATCTTTCTTGGGTATGCTTTTAAACAAAAAGAGGTATAAGTACTATTCTTCTATCACAAAAAAAATATTATAACTTCATGGATGTTAACTTCTTTGAAAACCAACACTATTACTCCAAATCTGATATTCAGGGGAGAGTCCGTGTGAATATCAGACTTGGGATACTACTCTGGCAACTCACTCAAATCTAGCGTCATCACGACATGTTCTACTTTTCTATACAACTTTGGATATTCACATTGCTCTAGAGTCGTCACAACCTATTCTCCTTTCTTCTAACCATCTTGTCTTTCAAGTTCCACCAGTTGAGAACATCCAACCTGGGATTGACAACTAGGAACTTCTTATGCATACTAGGAGAAAGAAATCCACTAAGCAGGATAAAGATAATAATCTACAATAGGAATGTTCACAACCAAACTTGAATTCACACATCTTTAAAGTTCTAAGGGAGATGAAACCAATGGAGAAGACAAACAAAGTTGCACAAATTTTCCTATCCAAGATTATGTTGTTTATGAAAAGTTATCATCAATATATAAACCTTTTGTGTCTAGTATTATAGTGTGTAGAATACCAAGTCTATTCACGAAACACTTAAAAGTTCAAAATAGAAAAATGCAGTTGAAGAGGAAATCCAAACACTTAATCTAAATAACACATGAACCCTTACAAAGCATCCTCCAGATAAAAGACCGATTGAGTCTTCAATGTCAAATACAAAGTAGATGAGAATACTGAGAGATTCAAAGGTAGGTTGGTTGTTAAAGATTTCACTCAGTCTTATTTGATAGAGTATTAAGATATATCTGCTCCAGTGGTCAAGTTAAACATCGTAGAAATTCTTTTCTCAATAGTCAATAAAAATTAGAACTGCTCAACTTAATATCAAGAATGCATTTAGGAAAATAAACCTTGAGAGAGAAGTGTATAGGAATATCTCACTAGGACTGAAAAATGACTCATATAAATATTTAGATTCTAAATTTGGAAAGTCACTTTATGACCTCAAATAATCTCCAAAGGATTGGTTTGACAAGTTTGTCAAGACAATCAAATCAATGACTACATCAAATACCAAGCAAATCATGCACTTTTCATAAAAGCATACACAGGAAGATAAGAATGCTATACTCATTATCTATGTCAATGACATGATACCGACATGTGATGATGAGAAGAAAATTGGGAAGATCAAAGAGGTTCTTGCCACTAAAATTGAAATTAAGAATCTCGAAGAGATGAGATACTTTTTGGGCATGGAAGTGACTTGGTCCAAGTTGTGTATTGTGATATCATAAAGAAGTTACATCTTAGACCTACTAAAAGAGACATGAATACCGAGGTGCAAACCTTCTGAGACTCCTATGATTTTCAACAAGTTACATTTTAGGGGTAGAAAAGACAACGGTGAAAAAAATGTAATTACCAGATATTGGTGGATAAAGTTATCCATTTGTCACACTCTAGAAATGATATCGCTTACTCTGTCGGCATTGTGACTGAACATATGAGTAGTAATGAAGAACATTTGGAGATGGTTTATAGAATATTGAGGTTTCTTAATAAGACCCCAGTTAGAGAGTTACTGTTTAAGAAATCCGACAAGAA